CTATGCAACCTGACTGATAATTCCAGTTATATTTCGGAAGTCGAAATACAGAAGTAATTCAAAAGAATATCGGTATAAGGTAATGTACAAAATTGTTCGCCTCTATATGTATAATGATTGACCCTTTTCCTAAAAATGTAAAAAATATTCAATGTTCGAATTCTGTTGCTATATCTCCGCCCCCAACTATACTTTAACCCTTTCGAAATCCTATAAATATCACATACCACAGCGTTTGATTAAAGATTTAATTATGAATTTTCTCCGCAACCTAATAGTTAAAGCAATTAGAAACGAAGTTAATTTTATCTTCAATTATCTTCTTGCAGCCTCAATATTTCATTACTTTCATGCTTATCAATTTTCATGTCTCGCAAATGAACTGTTATACTGCGATGACTAGGAAGAAAGTACCGGTAATCGTAAACGTCGACGAATGAAAATAATTGACCGTCATTCCGCGATTTGCATAAACTTTTTATCCCCGGTGAAATCTGAGCAAGTTACACCGGTCTGTGATGGTCGTCACGCGTGAAACGGGCACCGATCCTCTCGCCTACGCCAATGCACAAACACTTGTTACATACGAGAGAAGCGGCTTCCCGTGGCCACGTTGTAGAAACCGTTCGTTTGACGAACACCCACGTATCCGTCTAATGTTCACCATTAATCTACGTTCGCGATGAACGTCGACGTGGATTTGATGTTGATGAAACGTTTCGCGCGCAGACCTTAGCGTTACCTCACTCCTTCCGAGGATTTACAATTAACCCTTTGACTAAGTTTCATCTGGACATGATGACACGGCTCGGACAAACTGTTATGTTTTCGGAGACGTCAGATAGCTGTTTGAAATAAATATATAATTTCCAACTCTAACATCTCTAATAAGCGAAGTTCTAATTATTAAGAATAGAAATAATTAATTTTTTAATTTCAAATTTCCAGCTTTCTATTTAATACCTTACATTATTAATATATCAGCAAATGTTTGTCTATTATTTTCTATTAATTATTATTCGAGTATACTCAATTTGAAGTACTGGTTATTGATGACCACCACAGTATTCGAGGTGTTAATGAGAATTTTTATTTCTTTTAATTGGTGTGAAGAATTTAAAAGGAAATTATGCTACCACTTCACGATTACAACATAACAACTGCCAAAGTGAAAGGATTAAAAATTGCAAAATTCAGATCTACCCAAGTAACACTTTAAATTACGATAATCACCGAAAATGTATTTATCGTTCTAAATATATCCACAGGACCATAATTTCCACGGTTAACCGATGTGACACGGTTTCACTTTCAATAACGAGCGTGCTCGCCGTTCGTGATTCGAATGCACTTTTTCACGCGTTGCATGCAATCACAGGGGAGTAAATTTCACGTATTACATACGCGACGAATGTTACACGCCAGTCGAACGAAAATTTCAAGCTAGCTGCCTTACATTGCCGCGAGCCGAAAGGTGACTAATGCAACGAGGCGACTGTCCTACCTTGCCAGTTGCATGTGCATACACCGGTGCATATAAGTCGTGCCATACCCGCAGCCCACCGTGCGTTATCCTATTCGCGGCTACCCGTTTGCAACCGCGAGTTTCTTTGTTTGCCTAGCCCACGAATCGAGTCGGTGACATTTACAAGGCTTCGATCGATTGACACTCGTTACAAGGGACGTCGATCCTGATCGATACCGATACGATTAACATCATCGGTAACAGAGAGGCAGACACGCACTCTATCGATGGCAGCTGTATGATGGTCGCATGGTAGATTAATACTTGGAATTTGTGAGAAATTAAAAAAGGGGTATAATAGAAATTGTGCCGAGTTGTTGCGAATTAAATAGTCGTTTTAGTTATAAAACATTCAGTAGTATATTTGTTAAATATACTGCAGTGGTAAAAAAGTAATGTTAAGTTTGATGCATCAAGCATTTTGATTCATTGAAAGTAACTAAAAATGGCACCTCCAATGGCAAAGGCAACCATATTCTCTGGTTGCACTTCAGCTAAAATGAGAGTGCATCTGGAGTGCATTGAATTTAGAATAACTAGTAAATATGGAAAGTGCAGCTTTAATTTTTGTTGCGACATTATTAACGGTAGAGCAGAGAATTTGGCAAATTTACATATACGTATATTGAATAAATAGAATGAATTTGTGTTACACATCTGATAAAATAAGCATTGATATGAAAAGCGAATGAGATTATACGATACGTGTATGTAGTTTTTTAAAAGGATTTTTTGGTATTATTAATTACAGGAATCAATGAAATTTAACGCTTGAGTTACGAATCGTTCCATGCATTCTTTGCCTCAGTGTGTTTTCATTCGTTGCTCAATAGTGCGTGACTGCAGTCTTTTCGACGAGCTATAGGTATTGCTTGCATTCTTTGCTTATTTGCTCGACCGATTGCATAAAGATTAAATTAAAATTTAAATAAATATTTTAAATTAATCTTACACAACATAAATTAAAAATTTACATTTCTGTGTAGATTAGAAATAAACATTCGATATACAATTTATTAAAAAATAAACATTGAAATCAGAAAACTTTTATGAGAAAATATGTCACAAACACTAATTTGAAAGGCATGTGAAGAATAGTAAAATTTAATTAAAACCTCAAACATCCAGTGACAAATGCTCGTAATCCAAAATATTCTTCTTCTTTTATGAAAATTCATTTAAAATGAAATAAAAATTTAAACAGCATTAACAAATTCAAACCTCTCCACATAAGGGTAGTATTGACTCAAATAATTACATTTATAATTTTTATATTTTTAAAAATTCCTATGAATAATAAAATAAAATTGTAATGAAAAACTTTATTAATTGTAATTATTAAAATTTAGTTCTATCTATACTTTGAAAACGAAAAATAAACGAGTAAATATGTTCGTTTTTATAAGCAGTGAACACAGAGTACATGTAACAATAAGAAACCAGTGAGAATCGATATGCAAATGCGAATGTAGTCCGAAAGATCAGTGACTCGTCTCGATGACTCACCAAGTCACCTTTCTTACGTTTTCGTCCTACACTGGTTGACCACCATTCCCAACACCGCCTCTTCGTAATGCCCCTGAATTCGCCATAGAGTTGAGTAAACGTACCAATTTGGGAATAATTATTTTAATGGAAACTGTGTTGGTGGTTTAATTAAAAAGCAACTGCTCGGAAGTGAATGCAATGGTCCTCGGTGTACATCTACCTTTTACGAGATCTCTTAACGACATCAAGAAATGAAATATTACAATGTTTTATCATTCGATGAATTTTTAAAAATAAACTATTTGATACCCAATTGAGTTGAATAAAAAAAGGGATTAATTTTGTTGACAATTATAGAAAGGTATATAAATTAAAATATTGCAAATTTTGCAACTTTGTAAGCAAGTTTAAATTACATACCACCTATATGATAACGTTACATCGTAATAGTTGAATATTACAAGCTAAAATGAGTGCAAAAGAGGATTAGCGAAGATTTCAGAGTGCTTAATCCCTTGGGGTTGACCACAGCCGGAACTACTCTACTGAAAGCCAGGTCCTCCATTTGCTGGTATAATGAAAACACGAACTAATCTAAATACCTACGTGTTCTATGCTTCAAAGCATGTACGAGAAACGCAATATTTAGTATGAAAATATTTATTTCATATCTTTTAAACGAGATGAAAGAAATAATATAGGTAGTGCATAAGTGCATCGATGCACTTGCATATGCACTTATGCATTTACTTTCTTCTAATGAATCTGCATATTATATTTCGCGTAAATAAATTCTTTGGAATACTTTACATATAAAAATATTAAAATATAATATTAAAAAATTAATAATTCGTAAACTATTTCATACAGAAATTTAAAAAATCTCACGATTTCTTAATTTTTTGACATAGCAATATAAAATATTTAAATTTCTTCTCCCTAAAACTGCAATTCATAAGTTAATTTGAATAATATAAAAAATCACTCGTTATTCTGGAATAATATCGAAATGTACCTGAATCGTTATCGCATTTGCACCTAATTCCGTCGAATTTCGACAGAAAGCTCCCAGTAGGCTTGCAAACGTTAGTACCGATTAGCAACCAAACCGATCGCGAGCACGAGAACCAAGGGAAACAGTTCCAGCACAGTTTACGAACCGATTAAATAACGTCGGCGAGATTTCCATAGACAAATGGTCGGTATCTAATGTAAAGCGGGGAAATACGGTCAAGCGTGAGCCAGAGATTGCAACCGACCCATTCTTATCCAAATCGGACGACGCATTTGCATATAATGTAAGCGCATGGAATTGCAGCATATTTTTATGAAATTTTAACAGAATTCACGTTTAAGAGCATCGCGAATGCCTTGAATTATAAAACGGGAAATTATAATGCCCGAGTGATCGATATACGCGTGTACCGTTAGGCGTAATCGATGTCACAGGCTTGATAAATTACACGGTTGAAATAATGATACACTAGCAGGCTGCGTTTTTATTATCAACAGGCTGTGCTTCATGGTCATTAGCTTCACTGACTGTGTTTCATTACCGGTTTGCATACTATACATACGAATTGTTGTTTCAGGGAAATTTTAATCCTACCACTGTCAAGTGTTTTTGCAAGGTGAGAGTATTAATTTTTTATGCAACAACATCTATTCCGCTCTATGAGAAATTGCTGCATTTCAGCGAACTTTCTTAATATGAATTTTAAATTGAATCGTGATTTGGATAATATTAACAAATAGAAAAAAATAAGTAAACTGAGTACTTTCATCTACGTGATCTTGACGATTCATTTTATCAGCCAAGTTCAATTTTAGGTTCCTTCTAATTTTTCAAATTTAATACAACCCCTTTGAAATAATTTTTGTTTAAATGTTTGAGTACCTGATAGCACTCTTATAAAATACATTCCAAAGATTTGAATTTACGAATGACCCGGTTCCATTATTTGAAGATTAAACAATCGACACTTACCGAAGCCAAAATGGTGACGAGATATCGTTGCGTCTTCTCGAAGTCGAGAGTACGATTAACAGTAACTTGGCCTTGATGAGGTAAGTTTATGCTGAAATAACCGTATCCATCGGCTGTCGTGATTCTATTCCGACCGACTCCCTCGTTATTGCCGATTCTAGTTCCGTCTCCAGGAGCGATCGAGTACTCGACAATGCCATTCACACCGGCATCTGCATCTACGGCGACTACATTTTTAAAGATGGTAGAACCAACTGGTGTTAACTGCAAACAGAAAAAAATTTTTTATATAAAATTTCTAATCAAAAAATTGATATCAATTTTATTTCTGTGAGAAATTTTCTAGATGAGAAAAATAAGTTTTCCTTGGGGCAAAGGTGGAACGTGCCACCCCCTGGCCATCTTTCATTTTTGCACAATACATCGACGTATCATTGCCAATATAATGCAACTATTAATTATCTTCGAATTAACAAACTATACTTAACAGAATGCACTTTCAATTTCATAGTTAGCACAGCATGACCTATCGTTCGCAATTGCAGAATCGCGAGAGTTCCCTCGATCGAGATCGCGGAACGCCTTCATGATCTCTGTTTAAACTAATTAATCCCCGACGAAGCTGACCGGTCGAATGGTTTCACAAAAGAGAAACTGAGGAAGCTGGATTATTCCCGTCTGATAATCGGCCGTGAAGCTAAAAATCGGTCACGCCAACGAGAGATATTCGCTCATAAGTTCGTATCGGAGCACGTTCTCTCCGCGATCGAGTTTCCACCGCGAAATTGTACTCTCGCTACGGTAGCCTGATTTATCGAGAGATTTATCGGGAAGGCACGATCCTACCGAACGAAAAATTCTGTAAATTATCCCGTTGTAATTCTACCGTGGTACTGCACGTATGTTGTACGCTCGGCTTAACTGTAGATGGTCAATTATTCTCTGATGTAGGAATTGAAGAGGTTGCAGTGATAAGAATGCAACTGCAATTTGTAAGTTTATCTTATTTTGTGAAGAAAAATGTTTGAATTTTCAAATGCTATAAATTTATATTTTTTCAAGACATGTGTCGTTTTCATCTACCTTCCTATCATAACTAGGATAAATAATTACACATTTGAATTTCTCAAGAATTTTATGTCCTATTCAAATTTTACTTGCTAAAAGAGCCATAAATTTTGTCACTTTCTACGATGTTTCTCTAATGCTGAGTTACGAATACATTTTTAGTAGGAAAAGGAAATATTGAGGAGAATTTCTCTTTTTTGGGAGACTTGCATATTAATTAGTATATGAATTACCCTTTTTGAATAAAGAATATCGTGTCAGATTTACAATTAGTTAATTAACAAACAAGTTACTTCAAGATTTGATGAACCTTCTCTATTAAACACCTGCCAGACGTCATCGTCCTGAATTAATGAATACTATTCAAAAGGTATGAGAAATTAAAAGAAAAATATTTGTAGGGAATAATAATAACCTTAATGAACCAACTATACGTCTCTTTGATTACGCAATTGCGTGTTTATTGATTCGAATCACCCGTGTTAGATGCACAGTTACTAAGAACTCTCGAGTGCATTTTATTGCATAGAGCAGTGGTCAATCCAGTAGTAATTAACTGTACTTAGCGATAACAGCTACCGTTTAGCAACGTAAGCCTCTTTAATTTGTAAAGCAAAGAACAGGCATAACAGTATATTTCAATTACTAGTCAGGAAGGCAGTTGCACTTTCAAAAAGTATACATACAGATACAGATAATGCAAATTCAACGAAAATTTAAAAAAATTGCAAAGTACAAAATATTTATCAATCAAACATCAGTTTAAGTATAAGAAATCGTGTAATTTTCAAAAATCATAATTTATCACAGTGAGATCAACAGCTACGAAAACTTCCCGAAAGATTTTCTTGTACTATTTTTCATTCCAAACATCATAAATCACTTATGAAATTTTCCTTTTTCAGCGTTGAAAGCATCGAGAGCGGTGTAATCGATCAATTAAAAAAAAAAAAACTCCTAAAAGAATGCCTTCAGTATTGTTTTTACCAACTCGAGTGTAATGGTAACTCAGAAAATGAATTGTTTCCAGAGAAAATTTTAACATTTCGTTAAAAATGGTTTCATTATTATTAATCAAGTTACGGTATGCGAACGTGTTGAACTTCGAAACAACAGGCAGAGGAGAATGAAATGAAATCTGTACGATTTCAATCTCGCAGTATCCTCTTCTAAATACCAGAACCGGGGAGACAGAATTGCATCATCAACTATTCCAATCTCCGAACGTTTCGTTTGCCAGATGACTGGACGAACCAATTAAGTTATCCGAGTTGTCGACGAGTTATCCAACACATCCTCCCCACCCTCTAATTGCAAGGATCTATTTCTCGAAACGAGCAAAGGGGAATTATCGGTTTGCCTGTGTAACGTGCACGCGCGCCAACTATTCGCAACGAACCCTCGGAAGTGTCGTCGCCGTCAAAGAGGAACGAGCTTAGCTCGCACGCGGATTCCTCTTCTTTTCTGCATTCACGGACCGTTATAATAGAAATGGCGTGTATCTAGCGAAGTACCGGTTAATCCAACCGGATGCCGCAACACGCGTGCGTTCGATACCATGTTAATACGCGTTTTAATGATCCTGTATTTTATGATCGCGAACGTTATCCGGCTGCATCTGTAAGCTATCGCGAGCGTAACGGTATATTAAAGCTGTCCACGATCGTTCGGCCATTAAATGGCACACACGGCACATTGTAAGGGATGCAATTGAGGATGTTAGCTCCAACAAATGGTATTTATGACTGCGAGAACCGAGGACAGGACCTTTTTCTTTCATTGATGGATATACAATAGGTTGGAAAAATTCTACCGACAATGAGGATATTTTATCTTTTCTTCTTAACACTTTGATAGCGACGTTATGTGGATTTTCTTGTGTATTTGACATTTTAATAGGTACTTTCTTGCAATTACAACTCTAATATTAATTTCAATTACGATTCTAAAATTAGTAAATTTACAGCATACATAAACTCGAACTCTCAAGTTAGTGACATTTTATTAGAGAACAAAAGGAATTTAAAATTGCAAGAATCAAAGGTTTCATGAAGTGTCATATCATCAAAATGTTAATTATAAGTTTTTATATCCTGAAAATTTCATATCATTGAAATTTTGGATAATTTGCAGTTGTGTAGTAATTCAAATCATACTGCAAATTAGAATTCAGAGATTACAAATAATATACCATCATTAGCTGTGCCTATACGAAATCCGTCGGAGCAATTTCGCATTCATACTACTTTCGATTTCGATGAGAATTCCGTCACGCAGCGAGTTCATTGACTCTGAAGAACTCGGAACTTTAATAGCAAGGTTCGTTCACGCTTTGATGAACGCATCATCTTCGAGATTCATTTGTTAAAATTTCTTTATAAAAATTATTTTATAAAAAATAAAAGGGCAAAGAATAATCTATAGTCTATAGTGAGGCAATACATTTTTTCATGTACGGTATTGATAATAAATAAAAGAAAAACAGTATTTAAATAATTCTATCACTGTTAATATAAATATATTTATGTAAATTTTTCAAAATTAATCTAAAACTCGGTATTAAAAGCTAATATAAAGAATTTTATTTTTCTATTTTGTGACAAAACTTGCAAACCAACTATGTATGAACGAATAGTAAAAAAAGAATCATTATTTTTCTATGTAACAAAAGTATCAATAAATCGTGCCAAAGATAAGAGACTTTCTGCATCGTTGCAGATACCAAAAAATATATTGATGATTACGACCGTTTCAGATGCTTCACATTATCGCCAGTAAAAGTGTCCAACTAGTCCAATAAATTCCAAATTTATACGCTTGTTAGCGTCTAACGTTCTTTTATATTCTCCACGGGAATCACAGTGGCCATAGTTTATTGCAAAAGGAAGTCTAATCCTTCTGATACCCGTATTTATAGTACAATCATTAACCGAACCGACGTGTAATATAAAACTAAATGATCAACATTATTATTAAATAACATTTTTGTCTCGTCGTTTAGAAATCAAGCCTCTTATCGGTAGCGTTACACCGTGCTAATGATTCGCTTCGCTCGTTTTCGTGTTAGCGTAGCTTTATTGAAAGTGTAGAAATGAAATTCTAAACGACGATTTGAAGTTCAATGCCGTTATAATAGTTGATCACCTGTCGATTTCACGCTCCCTTACTTTGCAGAAAATTATAGTGCTTCGTTATCATCTTTCTTTATCGCACAATAAAATATAAAAGATTTTGACAACTGAATGCTAGTAGAACAGCTACATCATTATGCGGACGGTAATCATATGGTAGACAAATCTCATTAATTTCATATTAAGAAAAAAGCTAAGCATTCTTAATACTTTTTTGTATGGTGAAAGGGTATATGGAATACTTTATGGTGACTTACCTCTGGCACTGTAGTCTCATATGGGGTGTTGATGAATTTTGGTTTATTATCATTTATGTCGGACACTCGCACGATCACTGGTATCGTCCTCTTCTTGTTCGTCTGCTTTACAGTGCAGCTCAACTGAAAAAGAGAAAATTGGAAATATTATTAAAAATTTGAGTAATTAAAATTTATAAATATACAACTTTAATATACTGTGTAGAGTAAAGTTGGGTATTATTTCAAATAATCTTCTGATATGGACAACCAATTACACTCTTAAAAAATTAATATCTTTTTTGAAAACTAATACCACAGGTTTAATTATAAGCATAACATTCTTAGAATAAACATAATTATCCTAAGCAAGTTGTATCATGCACCATGCGATTCAAACAATTCCTAGCACGTGTTTCCACGTTTCCTATCGGTGAAATGCCTGTTACCGTAAACAATAATGTCCGAACAGGTTCACAAGAAATTTTTATCTCCACACGTGCACGCAGAATAACCAAGAAATTCTGAAGAAAACGTGCAAGAGTAACTGTACCTACAAGAGTAGCATTGGTAGATTGTGATCTAACAATGTGATTTTCTGTACCCATGATTTACACTATTACGATAATTGCCGTATAAGATTGTTAAGAATCGAATCAATCTTCCCTTCTCTATATGAACAAAGGTTCGTGTATACAGACAAGATTTTCTAGCAAGTGGATTTTACCCGGTCAATTTGCGAAAATGGCAAACACGAACGATCGTTTACGATAGCAGAACGCTGCACTAGACCTTTCACATTCCTTGCGCCATAGTGTCATAAGAGACAACGTGCATTCTCGGGTGCCAATATGGCTACGGCGAACGGTACACATGGTGTACCATCGTAATTACCAACAGTGAACAGTCTGATCGCAAATTCACTTCTACTTTAGATTTACCTGTATGTCTATTGAGAATTATAGGTTTTCAATCGCTACTTTTCTTTCTTGTTACCATTGCAAATGCTAAAGTGCAATGAACACTGGTACCATTCTCTGATAGTTTCAGAGGAAATGAAATGCGGAATGATTGTTTTACGTTTCATGGAAATGGAGTGGAACGATTGCGTTAGATGTTTCAAACGATAGCTTTTTGAGTAAGTGTATATTAAACAAGTTTATGTATAAATATTCTAAACCTATTGCTATTAAAAATTAAATTTTAAAATATGGTAATTATGTTTTCAGGTGACATATGAATCTTCCCAGGGTAGGTTTCAAAAATTTTAATATAGGTAGAAATTACAATCAAATGCTATTATTTTCATTAAATTTCCATCAGAACTTTTATAATTAAATTTTAAAATGTAATATCTGAATATTCATGCGATGAAATCTCATTTTGAACGAACAGTTTATACATCATTAATGTTCCACCTACATCAGCTCATAAATAACAGCCGATCGATTCCCATCTCATTTAACACTCTGTTTTCATACCATCGCACTACCATGATCCCGTGCAAGAGAAACGACTTTGCAAACAAAACACACCGTTCTAAACGGGAAATACTCCAGCTCGGTCTCCAAGTGAGCGTAATCCTTAAAAGTAGCATTGGGATTGAGCCTATTGGGTTGGTAAGATTTACGTGGGAGATTTTGAGATTTACTAAGACAGCTGGATAATTTAATTACTTTGACTAAAATTAGAAGTATCAATCTTTGAAATTTGAAAAATTTTTTTGAAATTTTCACTTCCCTTACTTGGCTCGAAAATATACCAATAAAAAAGATATGTATCTTAGGAAAAGACTGGGAAAGCCTAGTGGTTCCTTCTTTTGAAATGTTGAATTTTTGGTCCAAGTACCTTCATAATTTTTTGTAGAGAATTAAAATAGGATTCAATTGATGTACAGCAAGGTACAAAATTCCAATAAAATTTTAATAAATTATCAAATTACCTATAAATCACCCAAAATGTTCAAATGATTCATTAATAAATGTATCAAAGATCTCCAATTATGTAACGTTACTGTAACAATAAGTGGATTAAAAAACGAACAGCTGGCATATTACTTTCTTCCATTAAAAATAAATCACCGTGTCCATCTATTATTCATGCTTCCAAATAGAAACACCCCCTTGAATCGTTACCGAAGTACACCAACGAGGGTTTTATCCACTAACACCCTCGCGTTGTTTACGATTCACAAGTTGAAAAGTTACGTTGCTTCCGGATTTGTGGCAAACAACTTTTTACCAGAGGGGTTTACTACAAAAAATTATATGGACGGGTAACGAGATTCTGTTCCAAGAATTAGAAGGGGTTTCTTGTATCTGGTAGAAAGACGGTGCCAACTTTAGAATCGATCGTAGCCTCTCTGTTCAACTTTCGTTTCATAGCAAAAACTGTTTGAAACGGAGCACGTCTTTGAAAATGTCATCGCCATGGGACCAGAGAGATAATTTTTCACTTGACCGAGATCACTGTTATTTACGATAACGAGGATTTTCCTTACTGAAATCGACGTTTGACGGACAATCGACCATTCAATCACAGTCATTAGCGATTGTCAGGTTAAATAGTTCACTTAATCCAACTTCGAAGAATAACGGTATAGACACGTGAACTAGATTCTACTATACGTATAAATTTGCTGGCTATGGAGTTTATGGTGGTACGTGGATTATCTTAACGAAGACTTTAATGGTTATGGAAATTTGGCGTTTTCAATTATTTCTCTACTATTAGAGATGATAGAATTATTTTCTCGCATTTCTTTATGAATTTTGGTTGAAAAATTCTATAATTAATTTTGAAATTTCATAACAGAGGTTGTAAACATGAAATAAAATAAAAATGAAAATAAACTAAAGTCATGAAATGAAATAATTTAGACATCAGCCTTGCTGCAGCAATGACACAATTCACTTTAATTGCTACATTTTGTCTAATTGCGACAAAGAAGCAGGTAGAATTACATAAGGAATGTCAACGAACAAGAGCGAATTCCTTTGAAGAAAGGCACGCGTTCGTTATTGATTGTCTCGATTTCAAGCACCTTATTTTCCGTCTGATCTGCGCTCTGTAACAATTTGTGCTATGGTGGTCCGTTGGTGACTTTATCGTAGAAAGTAGTTAAATGATATTTCATGGCTCGTGGATAACGTATTGCCGATATGTAGCTCGTAAACTTTCTCGATCTAACACGTGTATCAATTGATTATCGGAATTCCCATCCGTTATTTTCTTATCAATTCTTATTACTCTAATAGCTAAGCATGAAAAGTGGTTATCAAAGACCCCACTTGTAGCCTTTGAATTTTAGTGAAAATTTAAAAATGCTTTGATGAATTGCCATCCAGTCGGAAACGTTCATGTCCAGAAGCGGAAATTGAAATAAAGCTTACCTGAAAAACAACGTGCGAAAGATTTTCGTTGTCCCTGTCTAAGGGTTCCAGAAGCTGTAGTTTCTTGCCGTTTAATTTGAAACGAGGCTGTCTTCCAGGGAAAATCAGTTCCAGCGTGGTCTCGTTATACGGATCACCAGATACCGGAAGCTCCTCAGGCACGGTCTTCTGATCGATCGCTGAAAAATCAAAGCCCGTGAACCAATTGCACGGTCACGCTGCACAGCGATTTGTCTGGGAAGCAATGTGGTAGATGAACTATTTGCAATTTACTGAACGAGATTTCTATAGTGGTTGGTACATAACAAGATACTTGTTTCGAAGATAATTTACGATGGAATTTCTACGTGTTATGGATCGATTAGACGTTAGAAAGTTAAGTGTTATGTACAATCAATGTTAAAGATAAATGGTCGAAATATTTACGAAGAAAACTGTGTGAAATGCGAGGTTTTACTTCTTGCAGTTAAATTTATGTTCTGTGAAAAGACAGTAAAATTTTTCAAGGCAGTCTGAATAAAGTAAAATTTATTTTGATTGCAAGCAACAGAAATTTCCTTTCATTTTTAGTGGAATTTTAAAAATTTTCATATAGTAACTCTTGAAATCACTCTTATTGCACTGAAAAATCATTTTATTATTCCTTCATATATTTAATAATCCAAACACTCTGAAATTTTATTTCAAATTTAAATTTAAATTTTTTAAAGCATTGAAACTAGTTAAAATAAAAAATGCTTTTTATTTGAAATACATAAGATACAAAACTCATTGACGAAGATGCAATATAAAAATATAAAAATAGCAAAGGTTAATCGATAGCAACATCATTCATCAAGATAACCGAGTTTAAAATATTACTGCCAAATGCATACACTTGATGATAAGTCTAGTTAACATGTGCATCTAAATGAATTTATTTTGCACTTTTGTTGTCGACGTTGAAAAAACGCATCGCACAACGAAGCAATTAAATGTTTAAGGAAGAACGGGTCTAGAGAAAGGCAAGGCTAGTGTATTAGAATCAAGTAAGAGTCTACAAAATGACTTCCTGATGCTCGGCCTGCTGTCTGCGCTCTGGATAATTAATGTTATCTTCACAAACTAGACGCGATCTCGAGCAATATCTCATTAATGACATCCAACGTTTCCTAATTGCATCGCGTCGATCCCTTTTCCTTCTTTCCGCATAATTTCTTGCCAACAAAATCCTGTCGCGCGAAATTAATGGAACAGAACGCTGTTCCATTTAATTTTTCAATTGAACGCACAACCCGCCTTTATATCAATGATTCTATCTGTCCAGAGCTGCAAACGTTGCTTTTTTGATTATTGAATTGAAAGCTATAAATGAAATAGGTTTGCAAAATCTGTATCAGAATTTGTAGAATTCAGATTTTGTTTCTTTATGTAGCATAAGATAATGGTACAAAGAAAAGCATTTTCAACTTTAATTAATTTTTCTAATTAATTCTTCTTCTTCTAATTATTCTTGAATTTTAAAAAGAGCGTTGCTTTTTAATAGAGCATAACTATGTTTCTTTAGTATTGCACCTAGGACATTCTGATATCATTCTAAGATTCTTCACAAAGATATAGTTGCAAAGCTGGAGAAACATTGAAAGACTCTACGTGAAGAGCCGGCTTATGCCCCAAAGCCTAGAATTGCTTCAACAGTCAGAATCGAGGCCATGGAAACCCGAGGAATTTAACATTTAATGTTATTTTAATGTCACCCCGTTGCACGTTGAAAATCAATTGAGATCAAACAGATTGGAATGCAATTCTAAAATAAATATCTACTATTTTCCTTAAACATGTAAGAACTCTGTGTTTGCCAAAATTTTAGCAAATTAATATTAGTGAATTTTTTAATTAATTGTCTAAAGTACGAAAAAGGATTAATTTTTTAATAATATTTTCAGTGAAATATAATGTACACTTAATATAATTTTGAAAGAAACGTAGAAATGTTTCTACCAAAAATTTCCTATCTTATTTCACAAATATAAGAAAATATTTTAATAACAAAGAGATTGTTGCATAAACAATTATCGTTCAATAGCCAATATGTTTGATTAATCAAATGAAGTGTAACCACTCGTGTATACTCGTTATCGTATACAGGTAAAGTAGGCTTGGTTATTCATGAGGGTCAGATAATTGAGTATTAATTAGAGGAATTAATCGCGCCTACGCCGTAAGTGTTAAGCGTAAATTGAATTAAAACGCAAACTCACCATCTCCTCTGCTCTCCTCGATGTCAAGAATAATATTCGATTGACCCGACTCCACCTCGCACAGGCCTGGAACAAATTAACAAAAGACCTGGTGTCAGGTTAATATCCCCGATAAATTCAGCCTTAATACCTAACGCTGAGCTATTACGCAGCTTAGTTTTATTATAGAACAGTATTATACAACGCGTATTATACAAAGCTCTTTGTACAGTGTTGTTACCTCATCTTCTAATACATGTAAATAGATGTTAACGGTTCAACCGATATATTGGGTCAATTACCTTTTCCAGGCGATGCTTTTCATCCTAATGAACCTTTAATTATCTATTTCACGGTTTGCCGATGTTTGGCAAGGCAAATAACTTTGATATTTCATGCGATGCATTTAAGGGATTAGGGTGTCTTTGCGACTATAATATCGATGCATGCACAAAAAGTGTCGTTTCTTATAAAACAAGAAATGTATTAAATGAAATAAATTTTACACCTTACTATGGTTTAATAATCATTAATAACGTGACCCAGCTTCCTCCCTTGATCTCAACTTCAATCTCAAGAGCTTCTTATTTAAAATTCACTGAGAAAGTTCACTCGACGTCGGTCGAGCAGGTGCAAGAAATCTGTCTGACCGGAAACGTGACTCAGCGACGCAAAACGTTCACTTTGGAGGAAAAGATTATGGGATTACCGCGTCTGTGTTCGTGTATACGAATGAAAGCTTACGACAGACGCCAGCTGTTCAAGTGCCTTTGCATTATTCTATTTTTATTGCGGTTTAACGATCCACCGCATTAATCGAGATGCGTTCGTAATAGCAATCAAATCGCAATCAAATCACCCTGAAATTTCACGCATAGATGTCAAAGGAAGTGCAAATGCTATGAATTGAAAATCATTTCACTGACTTCCTAGAAATATTTCCTCCAGGAAGTATAATTCATAATATTATTAATACTGTAACATTTTCAAAATTTTCCAAAATTGTCATTAATTAATTCCTACCATATTAACCTTCTTGACCAAAGAAATGCAAATTCAATGAAACACAGAAATGGTTAAATACCACTCTCAAGTAGAAAACGTACCACAAGGGTGAACCTAGCAGACATACCATAAGGGTACCTAGAAGACATCAATAGGGTGAATGATCAGCAAAAGGATACCAGGTGATTTTATGGCATCCGGCTTCCTTAATAATTCACATTCGCGTACTGCACCCTAGAACCTCACGAGTGTTCTCACCTGACACAAGGGTCAGCCGAGGTCTTCAGAACGAGAAGATCACAAAAGGCACGTTGCCTACGCGTGCCTCTAGCTACGATCTTTCTGTAAAAGGTTAACGTCGATCGTTAATGGCGAACGAAGATGCGCCGCTCCTCTCGCAATGAAACTTATTCCCTTGGTCGGGACGCTCGATGACATTTCGCCATCCTCGTACGATTTACCCAGTTTGTGCCGTTTAAAGTATCCGGGCCGCATCTTTAATGGAGACAACCGACGGAAACGTGCCGCGGACGGGCTCAGATGATTCCTTGTACAGGAAAACGGTAGACCGACACACGATACGAGAGTTGTAAGGTTGCCGGTGAACGATGCCGGTCCAATGTAGGAAACGGTGTATCGCTTGATCGAAGGAATATTTAACCTCAAGCGACTTTCGCCTATCTTTCTTGCCACGGGACACCATGCTTTCCGTAAAATCGTGCCGCTCGAATGGCGCACGGAAACGTGAAATGTATTCCGTTAACACGAGTCGCATCCATTCTTCAGTTTTTGCACCTTTTACGCTACGATGTTAGAGAAATTCTATGCACATTATAATAGGACATTTTGTAAGTAGAACTTGTTGTCAGAGGAAAGATGCCAATAGATGACATTTTTCAAAGTATGGCTTGCAATTTTTCTTCGGAAACATAGAAACTCGGAAATTTCGAATTCTTGATTATCTCCTAGGTCAATTAACGTTTATCTCTGTTAAATTGATAAAGTCCAAAACTTAATAGCAGTATTTCAGAATTCACGAAATCCAAAAAATAATTGGCACGAATCTTTTGAAAGTTCTTTCTAATAAAGAAAGATTTAGCATCGAACCTCAGCCATTTCTTGGAAAGCGAGTGTATTAGAAAGCGCATTCTGAAGGAGTAGACATACCGTGCCGATCGCGACCCATATCTCCCGTTGGTTCCTGGTTAGGCGACGTATCACAGTAAGAAACTGATCCTGTAACTTCATTTTAATGAAGAAACATCATTATATCCTGTTCTTCCACTAATTAAACCTGCGTTACAGGATATCCTTTATCAATTACCTTAGGAACTTCATTATTCTCTTCCTCGTCTGAATAACTAACATGAAATGGGTTCCTGTTACAGTTGACTTGACTTCAGGGGAAGAAAGAAGTTACATCAAAGTAGCAGGTAAAGAGATTGTTTTAGTAAGAATTTTGTTCAAGATTTCCAATATCTTGCCAAGATTATAGCTAGTTTTTCAGAGGAAAGATGCTAAAAATATTTTCTGGATATATTTTTAACATCAGAAATATTTTAGTGTCGATACGTCTTCTGATCCTTAGGTACCTGAGGTATTAACCTAATTATTGATTGGAGGATTAAAGTATTAATTGTAGCAAATTAATCCATGAAACTTTTAAAACCAAAACTTCGAATTAAAAATCTCGTCAGCTTCGAACAACGTGTAACAGAATGCTAACAACACGACAGCTTCGAAACCCGCAGGGATTATTTCTGTCTGCTTAACGACAATAGCGACACAATTTGATATATCGCGAGAGGCTTGTAAACCGCAAATGGATAAGCATCGTCGTGGATTCCAGTCGCGACGTCGTTAAAGATGAAACCGAATTTACAGTGGTCCCGGAGAAACTGGCGTCGCTACCAGTTTCCTTTGTTCCCGGCGAGCATCCACGGAAAAAATACAAGCCGCGGCAGTTCATAATCTCTTGCTGATTTATCGAAAGGATTCCCTCGGCTACGTGGCGTGTTACTTTTACGACTGTATCGATTTTATATGCCGTGCACACTGGCTGGCGTTCGACGACGATGTTTACGAAGGTTCGCTGTGAGCTACAAGCGGCTGGAACGCGATGAACGGCTATGTGCACTCAGGTACAAAGTACGTGCGAGAGACCGGCGTATAGATGGCTTCTTAAGACGGATAAAATGTACACTCCATGGAAATAATTTCCCCAAGACGGATAGGAAATACGCACGATGCAACAAGGTCGATCCTGAATGTACCGAGTATCTGACGATGCTTTACAATGCGAAGGAACTGGCACGATTGCGTTGCTGAAACATGCCTGAGCATCTGGACGAAATTTATATGAACCTGAAGAGCTATGGACTTCTATGTGCTTCTCATTTTTGATCGAGATAGGGAGGAAAGTGGATGAATAAACTAACTCTCGAACAGCGGACCATGGAGAGAGACCCAATTTTAATTTTTTCATTTCTCTAAATGTTACACCGTTTCTTTGAAAATTATTCTTGCAATATATGAAACACTTTTGTTAAAAATTATACATTTAACTTTAGATTAATACTCTTGTATACATTTTGTAAGTTTAGATCACGATTCACAAAGGCTCCGCTGTTCAAGGGTTAAATTGCAAGTAGTATAGATGAATATTTACTGAAACCATGTCCCTATTTTTAGCTGATACTCTATCTTCAATGTTACTGCTATCAGTCATTTAACTTGACAGTGAATCAGACAGAAAGTATGAATGAAGAGAGCAAAATAACACCTCCAGCATTAAATTACCATGTATAAGAAGAAGAAAAATAAAGCAAGCGCAGACATTAGCATTTGATCTGAATAGCAAAAAGAGGAAAGGCATTAGCTACACCGTCCACGTGCATCGTTTTTACTGCCTGAAAAAGCTAGTTTTCCCTCTAAATTGCACCACGATGTTCGACCAGAAGCACAATTTAATCATACAACTGTAAGATTATTGAATCCTTGTATGCTATTTGCGAAGGCGCTGGTAGTAATAAAGATTAGGTAAATGGTGCGTCGAGTGTAACACACGTATCAATCTCGAATTCGTATCAGCGCGATTGCGTTAGAGAGACGGGTGTAATTTCTAGCAATCGAGCTGCGGCATCGGTAATTGCAGCAGGGACATTAAATGCGATCGAGCCTTTGGCCGCGGGCGCATCGGAAACGTTATTTGTATTTCGAGTTTCGATGGTCCGGCGGTAAATGCAGGAATCCGGAGACCGGTGTTGCTAAAACGATTTCCACGCGTGCCAAATCAAACAGAAAAGTGAGGAACATCTGGGCAATCAGCTCGACCATTAGCCACGGATTTAGAATTTAAATACTTTTTCTTGTTAACATTCAAACATCTTTGTTTTTATCTGTTCTAATTAAAATTATTATAATAAAGCTGAAGTGATGATATGCATATATAAAAATTTTTATTTTAACAAAGAATTTAAATGAATTTTTCTGGGTGCCAGAAATACAATATTTGGACATTAATAAGAAAAAATGAATAATATACAATAGATTAATTTAATTTTTCAACCTATGGAATATTAACGAGCTCTACGATTCTCACCCCTATTCAATTTAACTATTCGATTGAATCAAATATGTGACGACCAATGACCATCACTGTGTATTTAATTTGATCAAATAATTTCAAAGCAATCAATGCAAATGGATTCGCGGTACCATGAATATTTTACTAATGGCTTTATATTAAAATCATAAGGCATACAGTTAAATTGAAAAATCAAATCAGCCATTTTGTACTCAGAATTTTAACGAAATTATTATATAGTTATTTTTATTAAACTTTGAACTTCAATGTAGACAGCTGGGTCTATTTCAATCTAGTGCAAACCAACATTGTTACGTCAACAAAACTGTACTCAAAAATACTTGAAATTCTTACTGAACCTTAAAATTGTCGATCAATATACGCATAAAATATTTTCCCCTAACATTGCGACTCCAGTACTGAACACTGACGTTACGTACACCGTTTACCCGAGACATTCGGGTGCTCGATTTAAATCAACAACAGTAGTTTCCACGGTATCGAATTCAAAGCGGAAAGGGACTAAACATTCCTCATCCTGGTTAGTTTTCAACCTCGATTCCCACGATATCCAGCTTGGCCATTTGAAGAGAGTTATGCGCTTGGCTGCAACAGATTTCCCTCTCCCTTTCTCCAATTACCAACTTGAATTCGTGGTCTTCTTTTGTCCGAAACCGCTTCGGGTCTGATCTCTCCTCTTATCTATTACTTTAAACCTTCTAAATGCTACCTATCGCGTGTTACCGCCCCGAAACTACCGGATTTTGCACAAAACCTAATAACAACCCGCGATCGGTGCAATTACCACTCGACCAACCATGGAATTATCACGGCAGCCTTTCGAAACGCCCACGAAACAGCATTGTTCCCTTCACGCCATCACCTTCGTTTTGATTTATGGATGAATATTGAAAACGATACATGTTCCGTGCTGCGTTGTTACACGGCGATTTAGGAATTCGTAAAAAATTAAGAAACACCTGATTTTATTTCTCGAGTCAAAGGAATGGTATTTAAATTCATTATCGTAACTAGGATTTTTGTCCAAGGGTAACTGGATAACATAACTTTACTAGAAATATAAAATATCTACTTTCACCTAATTTCAATATGCTATTTTTAATTCCAATGCATACTAAAGAATCTGAGCTACCACAAATATATATTTAAAGATATTATATTAAAATATCATTTCTAGAATAAAAATAGGTTTTGTAATTTTTTAATAATGTAAGAGTTTTCAATTTTCAATTGAATCAACTTGCAATCCGAAGTGGAATAAAATAGTCAAACTTTTGACTAGTAATTACATGCACCTTGTGTACAGGGAAAGGATTAAAGGCTCGGTTAATTTATTCAACGTATGTGCATTCATTACTAAAGAAGTATTAAACCGACCTTTCCCTAAGAGTTAGTAAAATGTTCCTGGCGAATTAGTTGCATCCTCGATGTACGGTTACTTGTAATCAGCAATTAAGCCTGAAGGGACTCGAAGTTGGTGCGTTTTAGATAATGTAAAAGAGGGAACAGGCTTGTTATACAATCTGTCACCGTGTCGGATCGGGCTGAATGTACAAGCTAAGAGGCGATATCTTTGCACGTGCCGTCAATCCTAGCATCCGTGAATACAGTCGACGATAAACCGCTGGTAAACATTCAACTGACGTAAGTAATTGGCAATCACCTAAGATGGATTTATGTACGCGGGAAACGCGTTTAACCCCCATTCCTCGTTTACATCCGAGAGACTCTTCCTCTTTTGTTTCCAAGCGTTTGCGGAGATCTTACGGGTTCGATGAAAGCACGGTTATTTACAGAATGCGATGAGATTGAAGGAAGCATCTTCTTTAGAACGTCGATTTTTAATGCGAATTTACGGACAAAGTTTAACTCTTTCTGGCTCAAAATTGTTTAAAAGAAAAATAGAATCTCTGATAATAGCCACGCTTCTAAGCTTTGAATTTTTCATCGAGAATTAAATTAATTTCAATTCTAAGAATTTTAATCATTCGGAAAATTTGTAAAAGGTAACAAGAAAAATATAATTACTTACCAGCTTTCGAAGAGACTTCGCGAAGGCATAGAACCACGAAGAAGCAACAGAAGCAAGCAATCCTTGTCCTCGCCTGGAAAAGAAAAAGGAAGCTTTAATAAATCTTGAACGTCTGATAGAATTTCGATAGCAATACACTACGCAAGAGGGTCCGAAATTACCAGGTGCAGTGGTTCAACCATTCGTTAAGTGGCCTCGATTATAATTACGTTAACCGAGAGACACTTAATTACAGGTTAAATTGACGATAATAAAGAGGAAAGAACTTCGATGCTGAGGTTAGTGATGGTAACGACAGCATGAAGAAGCTCGATTAAAAATATACGTAATTAGTCACGGCTGGCTAGACCCATATGCCAAGTTTACAGCATAATCATCATACTCATTAGCCATGCTCTTCATGAGCGTTCTAACTCGAAGCAATTGGCTCAATAAACTTTGAATTGAGATTTACTTATTATTTTAGAATTATTCATCACAGGAGTTTTATTTTATTTTTGCAATTGTTCACTTTAACTGATAATAAGAAACACTAACGGTACAGTGTCTAACAGTACCTACTTCTTGTATAGTAAAAGAGTTAACGACTTGGAAGAAACTATTTAATAAAAAGCAAATAGCTTTCTTTTAGATTCAAACCAAGAGCCATAGATTCTATAAAGTATATGAACAAGTATTGAATTCCCATGGCAGAAGAGCATCGTAGGACGTTATCTTAAAGCATGCATCATTATTCGGTAGGAATTTCAAAGGAAAAGGAACGAGTGGTCAGTGCCTATTGTAATTGCTGCCTCGCCCACGAATTAAGGTCCGTTCATATGCATTATGACTAATTTAGGTGTAAGTTACGTTACAGGAGATTCAATTCAATTTAGTATTCATTTCAAATCGAGTCGATTCTAAGTCTAATTAACTATGATCTAATTCTCAATTAACATTGCTAATGTTAATACTGGTAATATTATTAATATTCATTCACGATCCTTAGTCCTTAGACTAGAATTTTAATAGTTACCTACCACTGTTGCCATCTCTTTTTACACCCCTTTTTCCCTATGGAAGGCTAACACTCTAAATGTTTAATAAATAATAATAATAAAATATGAGGGCCACCACGCCAAGTGTTTATCAAAAGTATCTCTAAACATGAACAGACCTTTATTCTCACCAGAATCCCATAACAACGTTCGTCCAGCGTAAGTGTTTTCACACAAATACAGATTCTCGCCTAGCAGAGGTATCTTTGCAGAAGATATGAGAATACTTAACGAGGTATAACGCGGATTGCATCCTCTCTGCCTTTTTCTCCGTTCCTCACGTTTCTAGGATCAACAGGGAACTAGAGGCTCAACCTACGTGGGGTCTATGCTAATCCAGCATCGATGCACGGTATGTAATAAGAGTGTGCTAGCGACGGGTAGAAAAAAAAGTACTGGACGAAGGGAAACAATGTTATCGGCCCCGTGTGATCTTCGTTCGCTTATATTCGGTTCTCGAGGCGTTTCTCACCTGAACGCACGCGGTTCTCATCAGCGCGTACACGCGGCACAATGGTTGGTTCGCTGATAATAGCCACCACTTTGCGACCAGTCCGCCATGGTTTGCGATCGAAAGGGTCGTGGCACGATTTAAATACTGTCACGCCGCTATCAAGTTGTTACGTCGCGGTAATCGGCGCCGGGGAATTAATACGCTTGCCTGGTCGATTCGATCGGGTAATAACGAAACGCTTTCGACCGGGTACCTCGTTTATTGTCTTGTTTATTGCCGCAGTAAAACGGGCAGAAAATAGTTAATTTATGGTTTTGTGAATCGGACAGGATATTGATGTCATACTGGGTGGTCATCCGAAAATTTATTGACGAAGAAATAAAAAAATTATACGACTCCACTTTTCTCATTTTTCTTCTTTTTTTTTTATTGTTGGATTAATTAATCCTTTCTCTATTTAGGTTTTAAGTCAAAAGTCAAAGGGTTAATTTTAAATATTCCTCCACATTATAAAATTATATTTAAAGGAATAGTGTAAAATTAAAAAAAAAATGATAATGTTATGGAGTATAAAATTATTATGAATTTAAATTCTCTACCACTCGATGTCACAAATAATTAATTAAACACCCAAATTAATTCACCCTCTCAGACCTACGAATACGATCATTTTCTAATGGAAAAAATTGCATGACCTCAATGTTAGAAAATTGTTGCCTTCTAATATAATCGTTGAAACAGAAACAGAAGGATCGAGCACCACGATAGAGGATGTCCTTTTGAAGAAGGGAGTCGCAATTGAATGGTGCTGCCATACAAAGCCACATTCGACCCTCCGCACGATTCTAAGATGTGGTAATTGACGTAACGAGCAGCAGTAGGGCCTATTGGACCAGTAAGATAAAGCAGAAGCATGAATACGTTTCAACGTAATACACGTACACGTTTTACAGCAGCGTTTATAGTAAAGCTGCATCGATAATTTGGCGCCCTTCCTTTGTTTTAGCCAGGCTTCTTGCGACGAGGTATACCTAGTTAACCAGATACTTTCCATATTTTCTAACCGCCACGCATCCAATAGTACGACCAGCGATGGAAACTCCAAGTATGCTGGGTAATTCTCGAGAATTACATCATTAAAATCGTTCAGCACGCCGGGAAGGATTGATGAACGAGACAGCCGGTGATTTAGTAGCGCATAAACATTACCGCGAGCTTGTTATTAACATCATAAGAATACAGTACAGGATGCAAGCGTTTCATGGAGCATGATAGAAAGTTTAGCAGACATATTTGTTCGCTAAGAACATCGACTTTCCATCTGTACGAGCTTTGACCCCGACACTTCCGTGTCCCAGTTGCTCTTGACAATGAACGCAACGCCTCCTTCCTTACGTGAATAGCCGTTTTTCCTTAATGCAATTCTCAACGTCGTTATAAATAAGTGTTCTTGAAAATGAATGAATTCACTATTTCGCAAAGATCAATTGGTGTTCATTTATTTAGGAAGTCTAAGAAGATTTCATGACATAATGATTATGTAAAGATTAAGATCTGAGAAAAATAACTACATAAAGCTTCCATTAATATTGGTCATCAATTATGTCAAACGATGACCGATTTAGAAGTATGTAAAATCTGCCACAATTTTCTGAATTAAAAGTCTCTCGAAATAGCACATGTTATTTCAATTTAAAGCTTAAAGTCTAAAGAAAATTGCTATGTAATCAATTCATCCATATTTTTATCCATATTCGAACAGTACATTTATGCAACGTAGACAGACAGTTGTATCCAGCCTTCACTAAAATATAACGATTTGAATGAGAATGTCAATCTATGAATGCATCTATCGTAGAATCTTCAAATTGAATCAGAAAATCGATATTTCGAAAGTCAGAAACAGAAACAATGCTCGTAAAAGAAAGTTATGCGAAACATTTCCATAAGATCTTTTCTGAGTAATGTTTACCGTTCGTCACTGTCTGCCTTTATCAAGCTTGGTACCCCAGTACGACCACTTGCTCCATTGTAATTACACCACTGAACACGTAATTAATAACCTCTAGAAAACAAACAGTCGCGTAATATTTCTCAACGATTTTGTAAAAGCTTTTCACTTGAAAAACATATTGGAAACACAATGGTAACGAGTATGTAATTCAAGTTGTACATAAAAGTCAATTGTTCGTTCATTCAGGCTTTCTTTATTAAAATTTTCATAAATTCCAGATGTGTATCTTCTCTACAGAGTCCCAACCTGTTTCGTTCATTCAACCGCTCTAGCACTATCAGTTTCATCGGATCCTCCCTATTAAAGAGTATGGTAGTGTGCGAGGCGAGTTTTGCGGCCACTTCCGTGCGTGGGTGGCGAGTTATTACTGACGTGATAATGCAGGCATCCGCTGTGTCGTCGAGAAATTTGGCATACATTTAACGTTTATTTTGCAAGAAGTAAATAGAGTACAGCTCCATTTATCCGAATGAAATTTTAGGAAATATCAAATTAACTCAATTCACTGCCAAATTTTTCTTATTTGAATTATTGATAAGGATCTCAGAAGGAAAGAATATCCACGAGCACAATGGTACCTACTTTCCTACTGATAAGAGTCACGAAAGTCAGATTGGATTAACGAACGTTTCTCAAATGCAACTCGGCGACTTCCATTCACAACACGTTTCCAGAACAGCTGAATTACTTCACTTTCTACTATCTACCTTATTAATCGCGAAAGTGTAGTCGTGTCTCAGCTAGTGCTATCTAAGTCGGAAGTGAATCAAGCATTTTGCTCGCTCTAGACTCTAGACCGTGGTAAAAGGCCACTGAGCAACTTTTAATAAGCTTTTGAGTTTACATTTCTTGATACGTACTTTATCAAAACAGCAGTCGACTTGGAGGCTGTGTTTTCAGATGTTCAAACGGCGGACTATGGAGAGAGACCCAATTTTAATGTAATTTTGTATTTCATTTTTACACTAAATTTTACACTGTTCCTTTGAAAATTATTCTTACAATGTATAAAAATCTTTCGTTTAAAAAATATGTTTTGTAACTTTGGGTCTCCATTGACCCAGACACAGCTGTTCAATAGTTAATTCGTTGTAGATCCTTTTGTAGATCATTTAATAACAGTTGCTCAGAACTATAACACTCGTTGACATTTTACATAATACACGAAGGAGCAATCTTACTTGCTGATGTTGTCAAAAGACTTGTGTAAAATTTACAGATATGCAATTTACCCAGCGAACAAACAAGAGAGTAAAAGCAAACGCGGAAGAAAGGTCACCGTCAGCAATCAAAATGTCAAATGTTAGATGGAAACTTAAAATAGAAATTTGACATAAGACAACCATACAGGCAATTCCATTTTAACATATACTACCTTTTAAGTCCCGAGGCAGATGTCGATGTTGATTTAAGAAACTTTTAATATAATGTTCGAAGTTGAACGTGGAATTTTTTAATTTTATTTTACCAAGTGTAATTTGATCATACGGAAAAACTCAATACAATTTATTAAGAAAAAAGAATTCTAAATATTTTGATATTTTGATATATAAATCATGGAGTACCTG